GGGGTGGACTTGGGGATGCCTGGGACAGAGCAGCTGGGGTGCTGCCGGGTTGGTCCAGCACGGGGGCAGCGGGACAGCCCAGACGTGCCGTGGCTGTCCTGCTGCCCTCGGGCTCGGTGGCTTTGCTCTGCTCTGCTCCCCGTCCCCCAGGTCTGCAGACCAGGGGGAGGGGGAGCAGAGTAGAGCAGAGCGGCAGAACGCGCGGCCAGCTGACAGCCCAGACGCATCTGGGCTGTCAGCTGGCCGCGCGTTCCGCCGCCGCTTTGCTTCCTCTCCCTGGTCTGCTCGAGACCAGGGAGAGGAAGTGCCCCGTTCGTAACTGCGGATCCGACGTAAGTCGGATCCGCGTAACTCGGGGACTGCCTGTAGTTTGTTGAACTGATTCAAACCAAAATATTTTGGGTCTGTTTGAAAAATTAAATACTCCAAACTCATTAGAAATTGAATATTTCATTTCTATTTTCCTGATAGAAAATGTAAATTTTCAGGAAAATCTAAAATTTTCTATATTAACTGTATTTTTCAATGGAAAATTTCTATCTATCTCTAAGAAATATGAAATAACAAAAATATAGCAAGCACATGACTTGTTAATATGTTGAATATTGGTCAGTAAGTCAAATATTGCTACTGCTGCTACTGCCATTTTTAATAGCACTGTAACCATTCATTCCAATATTCTATCACAAACAGCCATTCTGATTTAGACTCCAGACAGTAAAGATCCATCTGGAACAATTTTATTTCTGTTTTAGTGGTTCAACACTTCATTGTGATACCACACTTATTTCAAGGCAACTTTTATGTATTGAATCTTTCGTGTAATCTCAAAGGCTTTACATTACACAAGATTCAGAGAACAATTGTGTTTTGAAACTAAAGGATATTGTAATCTACACAATTCTTTAAGTGCTCTGTCAAGTAGTTGCATAATCATAAATGCATATGCATTTTGTTAACAGATTGTGATTATATAGCTATCATTTAACATACTGACATCTGTAGGAATACAGATGGAAAACACTAAACTATGATTGACATCTATTCTGTTAATTTACTATCTTATTCCTTGGCCTAGAAGTATTTCATATCTGCTGCTAGCTAAGATGCTGGCAAGGGGAGCATGGTTTTGATTTGCAGTGCTAATATCATCATAATCGTTTTTTTCCTAATAGTTAAATCTCTTGAGCTCTGCATCAAAAATGTCACAACTAAACAATGTGGTGAAATTAAGCAGTTTTTCATAATTTCAGTGCTATTGAATGGCATCATGAACATTACCTAATCACTGCTGTCAGGCTTCACAGTTCAGTTCTTCTCCTGGAAAACAATGTTTGTTCTTTTATGGTATTAGA